AAAATATAATCAGACGTGATACCGATTTCGGTGTCCTTTGCTGTCTTACACACTCGACGCTAGTGCGAATGAGAAACCGCGGTATTTCTATACGTGACACCGAAATCGATGTCACGTTTGATTATGCTTTCTCTCTCGATCGTGCGTCTTGCGTTAAGGATGCAACATCGAATTGCCCCCATTCTTTTTTCCCTTCGCTCCGCGTCTCCTTCATGTTCAACGAAGAGACACGAACGTAAACAAAGCGCGATGTGTAGAGACATCGCGGTCTCTCACTCGCACTAGTGTCGAGTGTGCGAGACAGCGATGGGATACCGAAATTCGATATCATGCCCGATTATGTTTTCTCTCTCGATCGCGCGTTTTGCGTTAAGGATGGAACATCGAATTGCCCCCACTATTTTTTCTCCCCACTCCGTGATCTCCTTCGCGCTCCGCAGAGGACACGGACGTACACGCTTCGTGTATATGTGCAGTAGTCGCGCGTCAAGCGCAGGATACCATTCTTGCCGGTGTATGTACGTATGATAAATAAATGTATAAAAATACATCTTTATAATTATATTATATTATATTTATAATTATATAATTAATTTAACATAATAAAGAGATGACAGACTAATTTTAGTTTAATTAATTAAGTTTTCTTTCATTGTATCATTATATCATCAATATATTTAGCCATAAAATCTACCTATCCACAAAAATGAAGATTAGAGTATTAAAGTTGATCCAAATTGTAGATACAGTTCTTGATGATCTTTACTAATTTCATTACTTTTATCATTACAGACTATAGGTATGTACTATTAAGGGGATCCTAAAGCGAAGGACAACTCCAACGATGTAGGCACCACGTCTCTTTTCTTTCAGCAATCCCTCTCTAAATAGGTATACGTCATGGTTTAGAGAGGATGATTTTACGAACGCTTTGGCGCGACTTCGTTTTTGGTTTTGAACAAGGCAAGAGTCTTGAAACAGCTCTCTGACTAGGCTCACATCGAGCCCGAGTATATATTGTAACATCAGCACATCCCATAGCAATAAAGTCGTTGGATTTTCTTAGTTACGAGTGAATTGAGTTAATTATTCTCTTCATTCTATCGACTGGGTGACTTCACGTCCCCAGAGGGAACGACGAACAACGACGCTATTCACGCCGGTCATATTTAAGATATATTCTCCTTACAACGGCCTTCCGCTAATACCATCTAAACGGAACGGATTAAAGAAATGTCGGTAATGATTGACAATTTAAAAAGTCTATATTATAATGATTAATTCCGTTTATTTATCATATTAATTTTTATCATTTTACTATAAATAAATAAATGAAAATACATGATATATTGTATACATAGTATTGTCAATGCAGTAGTCGTTCTTCATATCCGACGTTCGCTATATCCAATACCCTTATAAGAACGAAAGACACTATATGTATTTTTCTCAAAGAGAACATGTATATACGCACATACGTAGTGAAGCGACTTTTTGCTAAGTTTATAGAAAGATATGAAACTATTTGTACTATTGCTATACTAGTTGTCT